ACGTGAGACTAATGGGAAGAAAACACGAAGGGAACGTCGTGTTTTCTTCTTTCCTTGTGGTTATCAGCATATACCTGGATCACGCGCAACTATAGTGATTTACTTGCATATATATATATATATATATATATATATATATATATATATATATATATATATATATATATATATATATATATATATATATATATATATTTCATGTAGATCCACAATGAAAACGTGGATAAGATAGAGATGCTATCCTCTCTTACAGGCCAAATATCTAATTCACATATACACAATAGCAGTGATTTAATTGATAAACTCAAGAAACACAATGAACCTTGGAATTAATAAGTTTTCATGTAAATTCACTGTTCACTAGAGTACCTGTGAAAGACCTACTTTCATTTCTTAAAGATAAATTACAACTGTCAGATTTAACTATTGAACATGATACTTTTCTCAAATTGATAGAGTTATGCGTAACTGACAATGTGCTTAGAGCAAATGAGAAGTTTTGCAAGCAAATATTTGGCATGAGCATGGGTAATTGTCTTTCTGCTCCTCTAGCCTGTATTTATATGGAGTTTTTTGAGGCAAGATTACTACCCAATATAGTGGACTTTATTCCTCCATGGTATAGATATGTAGATGATGTTCTTTGTCTTTGGCCTAGAAACAGTGACCCATTGGAATTTTTAGATAAGCTTAATGATATTGTCCCAAGTATCACATTCAAAATTGAAAGAAAACTAAATGGATCCCTTCCATTCCTTGATATGCTTATCATGAGAAATGGCCAAAACTACAAATTTAAGGTATACAGGAAGCCCACACAGGTAGACAGTTTCATACATTTTTTATCGAATCACCTGGAGTCTACCAAAATGTCAGTTTTTTCTGCTATGTTCTTAAGATGTCTGCGTATTTGTGACTCTGAATTTATTGATGATGAATTGAAACACATTCGTTCCATTGCACAAAAACTTGGGTACCCTTCTGTGTTTGTTGATCGTTTTTCTAAAAGGGCTAAAAAATCCTTTCATTCCTCTCAAACCAGGCAAATTCCTACACTTAAGAATATTTTGACTCTGCCCTATCGTAATGAATTTGTCCCGTTAGTTCGGTCCCTCAAGCTACTAAATATTAATGTTGTTTTCACGTATGACTCAACCATTACCACCAATATGTTAATAAGAAATAGCCTAAGTTTGAATGTAAATGAAAGTGTTTATTGTATTCCATGTAGCAAATGTAATTGTAATTATGTAGGACAGACAGGAAAAACACTGCAGCTCAGAATCAAACAACATAAGTACAATATCTGAAAGCAGTGCCCTGTTCATTCATGTTAGGAATAATAATCACCCCATTGCTTGGGAAAAAATCTTAGAAGTATTTAAATCATCTTGTGTCACAGAAAGACTTCTGGTTGAAGCTAGTTTGATTAAGGAATTAAAATCAATAAACATTAGTGATGGTCAGTTCAAAACTGATAATAAGTTACATAAATTTATTTGTCAGTGGCCCAAGGTTAAAAATGCTTTGAAAACCTTTGATCTAGATGTAGGATAGTTATTTAGTAGGTCCCTTATTTTTGACCTGACCTGACTAGTCACGTCATCCCCTTCTCTTAAGCTCCTCTACGTGTGTGTTGGTGTGGGGATTAGTGGATGACATCATTATGACCTGACCTCATGTTTAATAAGGTCACCCTGTATATTTAAGCCTCTCTCCGTCCATGTAAGCCAGTTGCCTCTGAAGATGTCTTGAATAATGACAAAGCTAAGGTGCTCCGTTGTTTCCCTTTTCCCGTGTGATTTTATATATATATATATATATATATATATATATATATATATATATATATATATATATATATATATATATATATATATATATATATATGCTGATAACCACAAGGAAAAAGAAAACACGAAGTTTCCAAGCGCTTTCGTGTAATTCACTTCTTCACGGGTGAGTACAGACTAAGGAGAAGTACATAACAAGGTATATATATATATATATATATATATATATATATATATATATATATATATATATATATATATATATATATATATACTATATATATATATATAAATAAATCACTGTGTGTGCGTAGTCTGGGCAATGTACAGGAAAGAAGAAAACACGAAGTTCCCAAGCGCTTTCGTGTAATTCACACGAATTACACGAAAGCGCTTGGGAACTTCGTGTTTTCTTCTTTCCTTGTGGTTATCAGCATATATATATATATATATATATATATATATATATATATATACAGAGGAGGGTGAGATCAAGTCCACAATAAGAACATAAGAAAATAAGTAGTCTGCAATAGGCCGGTTGGCCTGTGCATGGCAGCTCCTGTCGAGAGTTACTACCACTCTCTATCCATGAATCTATCCAGTCTCCTTTTGAAACTTTCCAGCGAACCAGCACTTACTACATAGTTGCTAAGCTTGTTCCACTGGTTCCTTCCTATCTCCCTCCTAAACCTTAACTTATCCAACTTAAATCCGTTGCTTCGAGTCCTATCCTGCTCGGATATTATAAGAACTTTATCTATATCCCCTTTATTGACTCCTTTCACCCACTTGAATACTTCTATCGTATCTCCCCGCACTCTTCGTCTTTCTAGGGAATGCAAGTTTAGTTTCTTTAACCTATCCTGATATGGAAGGTTTCTAAGTCCCGGAATCATTTCCGTCATTCTACGCTGCACCGTCTCTAGTGAATTGATATCCATTCTATAATAAGGGCACCAGAACTGAACCGCATAATCGAGGTGCGGCCTGACTAGCGCAAGATATAGTTGCAGCAAGACCTCTGCACTCTTATTACTTACACTTCTAGATATAAAACCCAATACTCTGTTTGCCTTATTTCGAACATTAACGCACTGTTTTCTAGGCCGTAGGTCTGAGCTTACAAGTACCCCTAGGTCTCTTTCACAAGTTGACTTCTCTAGGTTGATGTTGTTAAGGCTGTATACATTGACAGTATTTGTTCTTCCAATATTTATTACGCTGCACTTGCTGGTGTTGAATTTCATTTTCCATTTTTCAGACCACCCCTGCAGTTTATTTAGATCCTCCTGTAATGCATTTGCATCCTGCCCTGAATTTATCTGCCGCCCTATCACTGCTGATCCCAGTATCTAGATCGTTTATGTAGATTATGAACAAGAGTGGGCCTAGTACTGACCCCTGGGGAACCCCACTGGTTACACGGCCCCACTCAGATTTATCACCATCTACGCTGACCCTCTGCGTTCTATCGGTGAGCCATGATTTTATCCAATTTACAACTTTCCCCTCGATACCATAAGCCTTAATTTTTCTCAGAAGCCTCTGATGCGGTACTCTGTCAAATGATTTGCTAAAGTCTAAGTAAATAACATCGTAATTTTCGTCATTATCTAAATGATTTGCTAAAGTCTAAGTAAATAACATCGTAATTTTCGTCATTATCTACTACCTCGAAGACTTTCCTAAAAAACGTCAGCAGATTTGTTAGACAAGATTTTCCCTTTGTAAACCCATATTGAGAGTCGCAGATTAATTTGCTTTTCTCTAAATGCGACCGGATGCTATCTGCTATAATTGATTCAAGAAATTTCCCCACTACTGACGTCAAACTGATCGGCCGGCAATTTGACCCGGGAAAACACCACAGCAGTCGGTAGTCAGGTCAGAGGGTAAGATGACCCAACCTTCTCACCTGGTTACAAATCTTCTTAATTACGAAATTATCCAGTTTGTACATACCATTACTCAAATTCAGGTTGACGGATTCGGTTTGTTTAATGAGATTGGATTCGATAATGTTCCTACTGTCAATTGAATTACAAGGTAATAATGAGGAGGCATTATCCCAGTCAATGAAGTGCTTATTATCCTTCAAATGAACAAACAAAGCATTGGATTCCTGGCCTGTCCTAACCTTATCCTAAACAGTTTTATTTCGACAAATTTTTAATACCCAGTACGACGTAAAAGCGATGTTGTAACATAGTTTACTCGAAGCAATTTTACCAACTGGAATTTAGAGTAAACTCCAGAACAAAGTAACACTTAAACTGTATGTATGTGTGTGTGTGTGTGTGTCAGTCAGGGGGAGGGGGAATGTCCACCTTGTGCTTTCTGTTCTCTTTCAAATTACCATAGAACTCTGTAATATGTAAAGTTAATATATCACATGTGCCACTTGATTATATTAAAACTGGTAGCAAGATTGGCAATGATATGTGTCACTGATGATATGTAGAAACGAGAAGAAAATTTGGCTTGAGCGCCTCGCTCCTGCCGCTCTGCTGTCTGGAACCCTCTCCCATATCCGGAAACCTCTCTGCTATGACTTGAAATTAAATAAGATAGCTCATATCATCGATACATGGTGTAGTTCAAAGAGGATATGCACATAGACTCTCTATAAAATGGCTTGTTCATAATTATGATCGGGATGTCTAGCTGACGTTGTAGCGTGGCAAGTGTGTGGGGAAGGCATTTTGTCTGTGATCGCAAATACATTGGTTCTCATCATTCAATTTAGGTCAAAATAATTATAAATGGTATTCATTGGTTTATTCCTGACATTGCTGACAACACAGCAATCTAGGCATGAAACGCGCGCTTTAAACCACACAGTGGCGCTTAAGTTATGGGCCCTAATGTTGCCACATAACCAGGTTAGCCAAAACTGCCTGGCATAGGACTTTTGACCAGGATTCCACCATGACAAATGTATTAATAATATATCATGGCAAATGTATTAATAAACGTATAATAATTCATGGAATAATAGAGATGTTATAGCACATGTAAGAAATGTACCATGGGAAATGTCATATTGATAAATGTATCACTGCACATGCAATAATAGCTACTGTATATTATTACTCTTATTATAATGTATTTATTATGGCACAAGTGCTGCCAGATTTACAGTGATGCATATTGCATATACTATATATATATATATATATATATATATATACCGGTTACCGGCAGCTGTTCCGTGGCAGCCAGCAGGTGACTCGGTGCGGGTGATGACAGGGATGTGGCTGCTGGTGACGTTCATCCTGGGCACAGTGTACCGCTCCAATCTTAAAGCCATGCTCATCATCCCCAAGATCTCTCTTCCCTTCGACAACCTGGAGGAGCTGGTCGACTCAGGCACCCCTACTATAGTCATCGAGTCTAGCATGCTACACCAAGCTATTTTAGTGAGTCTCTCATGGTGAATACTTATTTTTAATAAATACTACAGCAGGGAGAGGTATTAGGCTGCTACCAAACAGGGAGGTACTACCGCCTGGGAAGATATTGGAAGCATAATGTGTTGTCTATGGTAGATCTTGCTGCCATATGGCATCACGAAAATTGTGACGAAGTCCCAGGTTGCTGATCTGACTTTCTGCCTCATTTACACACAATTGCAGGGTCTCAATTGTTTCTCTTACTATTGACAACACAACATACAAATATTGTTCCTCACTTTTTATTTTTTTTTATTTTATTATATATATATCAGTTCCTGTGCTCAGAAACAATAAAACATTAGGTTGCTCACTGACTGAGAAGTGTCATCTTAACGTTATTTAGGCGATGTTTTGAACTGTTGTGAGTAATATGATACAGGAAAGAATTCCTATGGCAATGGATCGAGGTTATAATGAGTTTTTGTTCGCAAGAATTCAGATGAAATTTATTTATATGAAATGAATGACCTACTGCTGATGCCGTTGTAGGCCGATTGAATGTGTGTAGAAGTAGTACTATCAGGTGTATCTCGTCACAGCCCACACTAGTAGAAGCCTCTAAATAACAGGGAAACGATGAGATCTACCTGTGTATGTATAGTGATGCTTAATCTCTGGTAAGGAATATAATTTATTTACATTTGTTTTTGTGTTGTTTGGTGGAAGATAACAACAGTAATTTGGGGGGAAGAGCAGACACGGTTTGTTTAGGTGGTTGCCAGCTGGTCATCGATAAAGTTGGCCTGGACTCTGAATATAAATCTAAGCTTTATTGAGGTAGTTTGTGCTGAAAATGTATCGAAATGTGTCATTGTAAAACTTGTGGTAAAGATGACACCTAAAATATTAATGATGTATGAGGGTGTGATGATGGTGTTGTCAAAATGTATATTGGTTTATAAGAAATCCCTGTTACTATAATTTGTTTTAGTAGCAATGAAGGAAGCCAAGTTGGATGCACGCCACTCAGTTACGTGCATAAGGTTTTTCTGTTGAGATGAAGACGTGTGTTGTCGGGTAATTAGGGCGAAGGGTCTGTGGGGGTTGAATCTGTGAGCTTGTGAATAGAGATTTTACTGATAGAAGATCTCTAATATGTGAGAAGAAAACAGTTGCCGCTAGCATAGGAGGCAGAGCAGAAGAAATGAAAGGACCTTAAGAAGAAAGGCGTGAAGATGTCAGCCTTGAGAGTAAAGATCGACATAAAATCCTCAAATTCGCCAGATAATTATGAAATGTTAAAGATATACTAGAACTTTACAATTTATTGATTGGTCGAATAAATGCGTGAAAAGTGAAAGAAAACCAATAGTAAAACGCAACTGTTGATTCACTTATAATGGCAAAAATTACAAACGCCTCCAGATCCAGATGAGGAAACATCCGCTGTAGTGTTGAATTTTAGGCAAATAAAAAATAAATAAATAAATAAAGCACCAAATCAGAAACATTTTTAATGCATAACTCGCCTCTGGTTACTTTCCAAGGAAATTCAAAACAGCAAACATCAGACTTATACCAAAACAAGGTAAATTCCCCACACAAGTATCAAACTACAGACCAATTTCTCTTCTAGAAACAGCGGAAAAAGTCCTTGAAAAAATCAAAACCACCGACTGAGAACACACCTCAAATTTGAAAGGAAATACAATCCCAGACAGCACGGATTTATAAAACAGAGGAACCCATACAGCCTTAGCTCCTAATTTACAACATAGCCAAGGCAATGCACAATAGAGATGAATGCAACGTAGTATTAAAGGACGTAGCAAAAGCATTCGTCAAGGTCTGGCACTTAGCGCTCAAATACAAAGTAAACAACCAAGAACTCCCCAACAACTTCACTTCTTTTCTTTGTAACTTCCTTGAGGCAAAAAGGCAAAAATCATCATTGGTAACCACATAGGCCCAAGCATCAAGTTATACAGTGGAGTACCAATCTACATGATATACACGTCAGACATGCCACCTCCTACCCACGGAGAATACACAGACTATGCCGATGGCGTCACCCAAATTATCCGACATCCAGGCAAGGGCAAACAGATGACGGCACGAAAAACAGCCTTCGCCTTCGATCAAATTAACGATTATGAAAAAAATGGAGAATGCAAACTAATACACAGAAACTAAAGATCATTCACATTGCCAAAATAAACCCAGCACCAATCACAGTCATCAACGAACATATACAATACTCCAAAGAAGGCAAAATACAGAAAAGGCATAGCAAAACACATAACACAACGCAAAAATGCTTGCCCAATCACAACTCACACAACTACGAAGATTCACCAAATAGACGTCAACATTCAACTGCTTCTCTCCTCTCCCTCTAAAATTCACTTCAATCCTCCCTTTATCCTTCCCCTGAACCTCCTTCCCCCCTGTCACTAGCCTTTATGTCATGTCATGGTCAAAAACATGACATCCACTAATCCACACACCAACACACCGCAAATATAAGAGGAGCTTAAAAGAAAGGGCGATGTAACTAGTCGTGTTAATTAAACAGCACAAGTACAATATTAAAACAGCATATGAAAGCAGTGCACTGTTCGTTCATATAAGGAACAATAATCACCCCATAGATTGGGAAAACAGTTTAGAAGTGTATAAATTATCATGTGTGCAGAAAGACTTCTGGTTGAAGCAAGTTTGATTAGAGAATTGAATTCTATAAACCTTAGTGATGGTCAGTACAAAACTGATAATATGTTACACAAATTTATTTGTCAGTGGCCCAAGGTTAAAAATGCTTTTAAAGCATTCGAGGTAGATGTAGGATAGATGATTAGAGGGTCTCATATTTTTTACCTGACTTAACATGACTAGTTATGTCGCCCTTTCTCTTAAGCTCCTCTTATGCTTGCGGTTTGTTATACAGTATATACCCACAACGAACGAAACCAGGCAGTTTGGAATATATCTAATGTTAGGCTGGTTCAGTCAATAGTTTCCTGTTGGATTTTGTACCCTTCTTCTGTACAAGGGCTACGTTAGCTGATTTCTAGTCCCTAGTGTCACGGGAAAGTCATTATTCATATTTATAGCTATATAACTGTATTATCTATGAGCCAGGCATCCTCCCTATTCAGAATACGTTTTTTTTTCGTGTAATAGTGTGCCATACAGCGTGGACAGCTGTGCTTGGAACCATGTGGCCGGTTTCTTTTATGCTATTTCCAATAAAATAATAGAGTTAGTATTAACAACGTGTAAGGTTGGACTTAACTATTAAATAATCAAAACACACAAAACTGGTATGACACACGGCAGCACCTCCACGCCACACGGCAGTACTCCCACGACGCACGGCCGCACTCCCACAGCACACGGCTCACGGCAGAATTCCCACAGCACACGATTCACGGCAGGATTCCCACAGCACAGTTCTGTCAAACAGAGAAAACCTCATTAGTAATGTCGAGGTAGGGAACGAACTTGCAAACAGCAATCACAAAGAAATTAGATTCCAATTAGAAATTCAGGACAGCCATAAGGAAAATTCCACAAAAGTCCCAGATTTCAGAAGGGCAAACTTTGATAGTTTGAAGAGGTAGTTGGCAGAGGGAGTATCACGCTTGGGGGTGAATTACATGACCTCACTCAATGTACCCACAGAGGGTGACCTCACCCTACCCGGATACCTGACGGGTTGAGATGGACCTGATATTGAGATCTGAGGTTGCCGAGTTCAACGACAATTTAAATAGGAAGTTACTTAATGCACATGGGCATAACATACCATGCAGAAAACTCAGATCAAACAACAATGACCATAAATGGATAAATAATTACTTAAAGAACATTATTGGACAAAGGAAGGCTATAGGTAAGAGAATAAATCGAGGTGAAGTCTACCTCCGAGATTATTATAAGGTATTGGCCGGTAGGGTTAAGACCGAGATAAGAAAAGCCAAGAGGAATAATGAGCTGAAGATAGCAAGGGAGGCAAAGTCAAACCCCAAGAGATTCTATCGAATGTATCAAACTAAAACACGAGAAAAGATTGAACCAATAAGAACATAAGAACATAAGAATGGAGGAAACTGCAGTGGGCCTATTGGCCCATACTGGGCAGTCCCGTTTACACCCAACCCCTATTGCTCATATGAGCATCCAACCTATGTTTGAAGCAATTCAGCGTATTCGAGTTAATGATGATATTTGGTAACTTGGTTCATTCATCCACTACTCTGTTTCCAAACCAGTGTTTACCTATTTCACGCCTAAATCTAAATTTGTCTAATTTAAAACCATTGTTACGAGTTCGCTCCTGGTTGGATAGTTTGAGTACCTTTGTAATGTCCCTTTTGTTTAGCCCTGCCTTCCACTTATACACCTCTATCATGTCGCCCCTCGCTCTACTTCTCTCAAGGGAGTGCAAATTAAGATGCTTTAACCTGTCTCTATACTCAAGGTTCCTAATGCCGGGATTAGTCTTGTCATTCTCCTCCGAATTCTTTCCAAGGATTCTATTTCCATTCTGTAATACGGTGACCAGAACTGAACTGCGTAATCCAGGTGTGGTCTCACAAGAGCAAGATACAGTTTTAGGATGACCTGGCTAGTCCTGTACCTAACACTCCTTTGTATGAACCCAAGTACTTTATTAGCCTTGTTACGAGCAAAAACACATTGTTGACTCGGCTTAAGGTTCCTACTTATCATTACTCCTAAATCTCTCTCGCAGTCGGATTTCTCTATGGCATCGTTGTTCATCTGGTATCTGGTTTCCCTGTTTACATCTCCTATACTGAGTACTTTACATTTGTCGATGTTGAATTTCATCTGCCATTTTTCAGACCATTCGAAAAATTTGTTTAGATCTTTCCTTGCAGTTTGCCGAGTCCTCGGCCAGATTTGATAACACGTCCTATTTTAGTGTCATCAGCAAATTTACTTATGTTGCTGTCTATGCCGATATCTATGTCGTTTATGTATATAATAAATAATAATGG